TCCAAACCTCCCTGGGCAGCCCTTTCCAATGTTTAACAACCCTTTCCAGGAAGAAATTTCCCTAAAATCCAATTAAACCTCCTTTGGTGCAACTTGAGGCCGTTCCCTCTCCTCCTGTCCCTTGTTCCCTGGGAGCAGAGCCCGACCCCCCCTGGCTCCCCCCTCCAGTCAGGGGGTTGCAGAGCCAGAAGGTCCCCCCTGAGCCTCCTTTTCTCCAGGCTGAGCCCCCACAGCTCCCTCTGCTGCTCCTGCTGCTCCAGCCCCTTCCCAGCTCCGTTCCCTTCCCTGGACACGCTCCAGCCCCTCCGTGTCTCGCTGTGCCGTGAGTCAGAGGAGGGAGGACGAGCAGGGAGTGCTGAGCCTGAGCTCGCTGCCAGCCCTGCCCGTCGTTCCCGTGTGTGTTCGGAGTCAGACGTGACGTGAGAGCGGCGCTGGCACTCGGAGCTGGCGCTTGGGCATCCTGCGAAGCACTGCAGGGCAGGGTGTCATCGCCGCGCTATTCTGGGCTCTCCCTGGCACACAACCCCCGCCGGGGGGGATGTGACAGACACACACGTGCGCGGGGGCTCTGGCGTTTTTCAAGGCTTGTCAGCTCGGGAGGGAATGTCGGGGATGCGACGGCTTTGTCGCGGTCCCTCATCGAACCCCCCACGGGGACTGGAGCACGAGTGCTGGGAGGAGAGGCTGAGGGAGCTGGGGGGGCTCAGCCTGGAGAAGAGGAGGCTCAGGGGAGACCTCCTCACTCTCTACAACCCCCTGGCAGGAGGGGGGAGCCAGGTGGGGGTCGGGCTCTGCTCCCAGGAACCAGCAGCAGGACAAGAGGGCAACATCCCATCTAACCCTGCCCTCCTCCAGTGGGAAGCCATTCCCCCTTGTTCTGTCCCTCCATCCCTTGTCCCAAGTCCCTCTCCAGCTCTCCTGGAGTCCCTTTAGGCCCTGGAAGGGGCTCTCAGGTCTCTCAGAGCCTTCTCTTCTCCAGGTGACTCCCCCCAGCTCTCCCAGCCTGGCTCCAGAGCTGAGGGGCTCCAGCTCCTTGGCCTCCTTTGGACTCATCCCAGCAGGTTCACATCCTTCTTATGCTTGGGCTGTGCCTGTTTTCATCCCAGCAGAGCTGCCAACTTGGTTTCCCCTCTCCTGCCCAACGGGTGAGACTCACAGAACACGCAGGAACTGAGTTATTTCTGAGAACCCACTGCCAAATTTTCTTGGAACTGGCTCGAAGATTTGAAAGCTGCCAGGGGTGATGAATGAGCAGACAAATGTGCTGACAACAAGCTCTCATGAGGCATTTCCTCTGGAGATGGGGTCAAAGCCATGCTTTGCATCTTAAAAAAAAACAAAGCACAGCTCCAACTCCTGCCTTCTCCCATGAATCCACCCAGGAGAGCACATCTCCTGGGAGATCTTGGTGGGGATGAGGTGCAGGAGAGGCAGGAGGCTGCTTATAGGGTTGAGGAACGTCCTCCAGCATGTGGGTTTTGGGGACTGTGCTGCCAAGCCTGGGGAGCATCCCCTGATCTCAGCAGCTCCTCTCCAGGAGGGTGGGTGGGAGCAGAGGATTTGTGTGAGAATCGCAGTTTTCTTTGCACGTTTCCAGGCTTCCTCCTGAACATCTGAAGCTGTGAAGCAAATGTCACCTTTCTCAGTCGGGAGGTGGGAGGATCAGGAAGAGAAAACAACACCCACTTCGGATTATTTCTTCTTTTAGAGAAAATTCTCCTGATTGTTTAAGGTAATCTCAGGAGCTGGGGGAGGTTTGCTGCTGGGTGTTGCTCTGGGAATACAGAGCAGGACTGAACATGAAATAATTCGAGGTGTGGAAGAGCTTCTGTCTGGTGACCACAGCACCAAAGTGTCTAAGCCCTCATGGGGTGATGAACCTTCTCATGAAGTTTCTCCTCACTTGATTCAGAGCTCCAAGATCTGAATATTTGATCTCTGGGATGTCAGGAAATGGGATGTGAGAGCATCAGGAGGTGGAGAAGAGCATCAGGAGGCACATTCCACAAGCCCAGGTTGCTCCAAGCCCCATCCAACCTGGCCTTGGACACTTCCAGCGATGGGGCAGCCACAGCTTCTCTGGGCAACCTGTGCCAGGGCCCCACCACCCTCATCTCCAGGAAGAGAATGTCCCATCTGGATTTAAGGACTTCAGAGCTGAGGCACCATCCACACCCCAGGCAGGCTCCTTCATTTGAATGCTTTTAGCTTCTCTTTGTCATGACCCCCTCCCTCCCTGTTCTGGCTCTGTCTGCCAGATTAAAGAACCCTTTATTAGAAACCTCTCCACAGAGAAATTTATAGACTGATGGAGTCACCTCTTCACCTTCCCTTTGTTTGACTAAATGACTTGAACTCTCGTGGCACTGGCAGGCAGCTCGCCAAGCCTCGTGTCCTTCCTTCAGCCCTTGGCTGAACCCTCTGAGATGTTCCAGAAACCTCCCAAGAGCTGCTGCCTGCAGGCAGCTCTGTGTTGCACGGCACTGGGATGTCCCCCAGGGACGTGTCCTGCCCTAGCACAGCTTGTGGCTGTCAGATTTGGGCTGTGTTACACTGACCACTGGAACGAGATGCTGTGTTTTGACTCCTCCAGCCCCTCTCCCTCCTCCCACCCGCCTCTCTCCCCCCTGCTCCCCAAATAGAGGCTCTTCAGGCAGGAGAGGGCAGGAAGGCAGAGGGAAGAGGCTCTTCAATCAGCAGCTGTGTGAGATCTGTCTGAGAGCCGAGGCGACTCCAATCACTGCTCCCTCTCCCGGCTCCACGGACGCACCAGGAGATTCCATATCCTTTGGATTCTTGCTGTTATGGAATCAAAGAATCCCAGATTGGTTTGGGTTGGAAGGGACCTCAAAGCCCACCCAGTGCCACCCCCTGCCACGTGCAGGGACACCTTCCACTAGCCCAGGTTGCTCCAAGCCGTGTCCAACCTGGCCTTGGACACTTCCAGGGATCCAGTGGCAGCCGCAGCTTCTCCGGGCAACCTGTGCCAGGGCCTCTCCACCTTCACAGGGAAGAATTCCTTCCCAATCTCCCATCCAACCCTGCCCTCTGGCAGTGGGAAGCCATTCCCCCTTGTCCTATCAGTCCATGCCCTTGTAAATAATCTCTCTCCCTGTTCTTGTTGGTTCCCTTCAGGCACTGGAAGGCCACAGTTCGGTCACCCTGAAGCCTTGTCTTCTCCAGCCTGAACAATCCCAGTTCTCTCAGCCTTTCCTCACAGGAGACATTTATAAGATCTCTTTTCACTAAAGGGCTACCCCATGAACTTTGCAAAGCAGCCCAGGAGCAGACATTTCTAGATTTGCCCAGTTTGGTGGCATCTCCTCCAGACTCAGCTGTCCAGTGGTACCAGTCACCTGCCAGGGATGGGCACTGTGGGCAGTGTCTCCCTGCTCACCCCCATCCATACCCTCACTCTGTCAGGGAGCTCCTCCTGCATTTGGGAGGCTGGAGCCTGTAAAGTCCCTTGGACTCCAACCCGAGCAAAGGTGGAGCCACTCCTGCTCCTCAAGCACAATAAATACAGCACAGAGGTCCCCCATGGACATCAGCCAAGTCCCTTTCCAGCCATTAAAAAGGGACAGACAGACCAGTCTGTACTGGGAACCCAGACCAGGCTGTCAACCAGCTGTCATGGACGTGGCACAGAGCCTGGAGATGTCTCAATGTGTCACCTCGAGCCAGGCCTGGCACGAATTCCCTCCTCTGGTCCAGAAGGGACTGCAGGGACCAGGCTGGCACAGGGGTTTGCCAACAGGAGACAGAGCTTGGCAGCTCCACAACTTTGTGGCCAGGCTGTGGGTGAGCACTTGTTTCCAGCAGATGGGTGGCTGTGGGACATCCCATGGATAATGAACACATGGCCAGAGTCCAGGTCTTGGGAGATACTGAAAACTGGGAACACAAAACGAGCTCTTCAGCAAGTCCTTTGGAGGATGTGCTCCTCAGGAGCAACCAGAGATGCCACCCACCCTCATGCCAACCCCCCTGTCCAAGTGGTTTTCCTCTATAGCTGGAATTAGCAAAACTCTTCCCAGCACCCCTGGGCATCCTGTGGTGTCCCACCTCATCGAGCTCCAGCAGACTTCCAATGACTCAACCAAAATCTTTTAATGGAGATTTAATAAACTGCAAAGTGGAAAATTTTCTGTGCATGGAAACGACTCTTGGAGTAAACCCTTTGGAGGCCACACATCTCAGCACACATCCCTCAAGCCCTTCTCTGCCAGCTTGGAGAGGACTGGACTGAAACCTCTCTGCTGCTCCTTGATGTCTGAGACAAGGTATTGTTTTTTTTGACATTTTTGCCTAAGGGAGAAAACCACTTTTGCCTAAGGGAGGGAAATGCTGAGGGGCTGCAGAGTCCCTGGTGCTGCAGAGGGAGGCAGGGAGGAGGGGACTGCAGGCAAACAGCCCGTGGGATGTGTCCCTGGGGCTCTTTGCTGCCTCAGCTCATGTTTAATTGAAGGAGGACCCTGCTGAGTAGGGAAAAGCTTTTGCAGCAGCCAGAGAGGATCCCCAGCCTGGCTGCTGGAGGAAAAGCCAAGAGCCACGTTCTTGGGAAAGCTGGGAGCACTGCTGGGGAGCCTGAGCTTGGGATGGACTCCAGGCTTTGGTGATGGAGCAGATTTGGGTGACTTGTGGTGGACGTGGCCATGGCATCACACCCACCCCATCGAGAGCTGTGTGAGGATGTGCTGGAAGGGGAAAAGGGCTGAGGAATGGGATGAGCTCCCACAATGGGCTTGTCCTGGTGCTGAGACTGCGCCAGGGGCTCCAGCTTCGAGGGTGTGTGGGGGGGGCAAGGCAGACATGACACAGCCTGGCCATTTCCACAAGACCAGCTTTAATATCAGTCATGAGAACGAGGAGAAAGCACAGAATCCATTAACGGGAAAGGTAATGAAAAAAAATAATTAAAAAAAATATAAAACCAAAAAAAATAATTAAAATAAACTAAAATAAAGCCCTCCCCCCCCCGCCCCGTGCCCACCCACCACACACGGACTATCCAGGCACTGCAGACGGAGGAGCAGGACACAGCAGATCCACCGGGAGCCCCCGCTCCGGCCCCTCTCCAGGGATGCTCACCTTGGGGTGACGGTGGTGGCCCGGCCTGGGGAGGCCTGGCTTAGCTTAAGATTCATCACAGACTGACACGAAGGACAAGAACGTAAGAAGAATCCGAGAGCTGCGACTTTTTGTTTCTTTATTCTAATTTTCAGCCTACGACGTTAGTAATGGTGATTTCAGGGGATGGCTGGGCCATTTCCTTCTGGTAGTGAAAATCAGAGACTGCAAAGAGGAACAGAGCTTATAAAGACAGATAGGAATATGCTGCCATAAAAAGACCTGGCATGCAAGTGCTTTGTACATTTGGCAGTTTGTGGGGATGGCGGGGCTTCGCTTTTGGGTTTGGTGGTGGTGGTGGTGGTCTCTGCTTGGTACAGTTCAAAAATGAGCTGCTGCCTTCACATCTTGAAGACAAACCCCCCCACACAGAGGAAAGGACAACACGAGTCAAGTCCAAGGCGCCTCTCGCTTGGTTTTGGCAGAGTATATATATAATATATATATTTATATTATTTTAATGCATAGCGGTTTCTTCCTTTTTTTTTTTTTTTTTTTTAAATTTTTATTTATTTATTTTTATTTTTTTTTTTTATTATTATTTTTTTTTTCCCCCGTTGCAAACCTGAGCTGGGTCCCTGCTTTCCTGTGCAGTTTTCCTTCCTTGGGTGTTGGCCCTGTGGAGCAGTCCAGTGTCAGCAGGCGATCTCCTCCAGCGTTCCCAGCGTGGCCTGGAGCGGCACGTTCACAGTGTGGCTGATGGTTTCCGAATGGTTTGGCATGGGATCACAAGTGCTCTGCGGATGGGACAGCAGGGGACAGGGTTATCCCAGGGCTGCTGGATGCTCCCTGGCCCTCCCCGACCGCCGGCTCCTTCCTCAGGCCGAGCCATGGCAGCGTCAATCCTCTGGGAAACAACCGGAGCGTCCGCACGGAGCCGAGCGCGGGGGGGTCTCCTCTTGCCTCCCAGGGGGGCTCCTTACCACGTTTTCATCATGGCTCCCCTCCTCTTCCTCCTTCCCAAGTAGGTCTAATAATTTCTCCTTGATCAGCTGCGGAAAGAGGGAGGTTGGGTTACGGTGGGAAGGACGGGCAGGAGATCTGCGCTGGCCTCATCCAACGGCTCCGAGGGCACAGGGAACAGGATGGGTTTGGGGGATACTCTGCAAAGGATATGCAGAAGGAGACAGGGAGATGCTCCAAAGGCTGGAGCCTCTCAGCTCTGGAGCCAGGCTGGGAGAGCTGGGGGGGTTCACCTGGAGAAGAGAAGGATCCAGGGAGACCCCAGAACCCCTTCCAGGGCCTAAAGGGGCTCCAGGAGAGCTGGAGAGGGACTGGGGACAAGGGATGGAGGGACAGGACACAGGGAATGGCTTCCCACTGCCAGAGGGCAGGGATAGATGGGATACTGAGAAGAAACTCCTTCCTGTGAGGGTGGGGAGGCCAGAGGTTGCCCAGAGAAGCTGTGGCTGCCCCTGGATCCCTGGAAGTGTCCAAGGCCAGGTTGGACGGGGCTTTGAGCAACCTGGGCTGGTGGAAGGTGTCCCTGCCCATGGCAGGGGGTGGCACTGGATGATCCTTAATGTCCCTTCCAACTCAAACCATTTGTGATTCCATGTTAAAGCCACTCCACGTGTCAAAACTGAATTCTTCACGTGGGAAAAAAAACCCAACCAACCCAAACTCCATTTTTGAAATCCATCTGGGGCTTTGTTGAAAGCTCCCAGCTCCCTGAGCTCCTTTTCCCTTCACAGCCACTTTATTTCCCTGGCAGCTGCTGCTGAGAAGGAAATTTCAAGGGAGATCCCAGAAAGGTTGAAAAGTGAGTGTTTTTCTGGAAAACTTCCACTGGGGGAAAAGAGAAAAAAAACCCAAGAAGCAAGCTAAAAACATGAAAAACTGGGTCAGTTCCTAAGGAAGGGAGGTGGATGCTGGCTGGTATTCAGGGCTGCTGGGGGGAATTCAGGACCTCCAGGAGCCCAGGAACACGACTCTGCCCCGGGGCAGGACCACGAGGAGGGTTTTTCCAAGTGAATGATACAAAAAAAGCATCTTTAGGGTCAATATTTCACCCACCTTTGGCTAATCCACCAGAAAAATAAGCTGTAGCTGTTTGCTGGAAATCTCAAGAGTTTCCAAATGCTTTGGCTGAAAATGGTTTTCAGTCTGCTTTTGAAACCCCCTCTTTGGGAAGCCCTGAGCAGATCAACTGTGTAAAATAGGCATTTTTAAGACATTTTTATTCTTTTTCTCCCTGTCTGGTGTGGGTGAAACGTCTGTGCCAGGTGAGCATGAAGATGCCCCACGTAGGGAACAGCCAGGTTGAACCTGCTGGTGCATCCCCAGGTGGGCAGAGGGAGCCTCTCCAAGGGGCCAGGATGAGTCTTGGGCCGTGTTTGCCCAAAAAAGAAGAACAAAAGAAAAAAAAAATAGCAAAAGGAAACCATTTGACAAGTTTATAAGCAGATGTCAAATAAAGCAGTAAAACAGAGAAGAAAAATCCAAACTTTGCAAGGTTTCTTATTAACTTCTTATGGAAAAAAAAAAAAAAAAAAACAAGAAAGCTGGGAGTAGGGGATTTTAATGAAATATTTGTGCATTCAGCTGAGCTACAAACTGAGGCACAGGGTTTTTTTTGCCATTATGAGCTTTATGCTTGTAATTTTCAATATATTTCAATGCTGAATTACACTGCCAAGTGCTGAGAGCTGCCCACAAGGGGCTGGGAGGGGGAGGGACTGCCTTAAGAAATAAAGTCAGCATCCCAACTTTAATAACATTAAGGGGTTTTTCAAGATGTCCCAGGGAGCTCACAGCTGCAATATCCCCTGGGATTAAAAATCCCTGGTCCCATCATGGTACAGGACAAGGACAGGGCTATGGGAGAGCTGGACTGGGCAGGTGTGAGATATTGGATATGTGGGGGCAAGGCCCCAAATCCCTTGCTCTGAAACTCCCAGAGAACAAGAATATGAGCTGAATTAGGAGGAAAAATTTTCCAGGCACAAGGACAAAGGATCCTGAGTTGGGATGTACCAAATTTGCTGGGAACTTTTCTCCATAAGTGTTTGCAGCCTCCTTGTATGGCTTTAAACTGAAAGAGAGTAGGTTTAGATGGGATATGGGGAGCAAATCCTTTCCTGGGAGGCCCTGGTACAGGTTGCCCAGAGAAGCTGTGGCTGCCCCTGGATCCCTGGAAGTGTCCAAGGCCAGGCTGGATGGGGCTTGGAGCAACCTGGGCTGGTGGAAGGTGTCCCTGCCCATGGCAGGGGGTGGCACTGGGTGGGCCCAACCCAACCCAGGAACCTCCTCACCACACTTCACACTCACAACCCACTACTGTAGAGCCTTAATTATATGCTATTATTAATTAAAACTGATAATCCACGTGGGCAAACGGGGCATGGAGGCTCCAGCCTGGCACCAAGGCTGGCAAGCCCAGACCCTTCCAAGGACTCAGTTGGCAGGACAAGGGCCTTACCTCGTATATATAATCGAAGAGCTCTAGGATGGTGAGGATGCTAGCACCGATAAACAGCCCCATCTGGCCTCCAATGTCACCTAGGAGAGACAACAACACTCCCAGAGCCTGTGACCACGGACCACAAGGAACCTCCCTTTAGCCAAGTGAACCCCAGCTGGTCCCCACCTTCCCCTGCCATGGGGGCCTTTCCTTGCAAAACGAGGAGGGGGCTCCTGGAAACACCACCCAGGGAAACACCACCCAGGGAAACACCACCCAGGGGTGTCAGCTGGGGCTAAACAAGGTTGGACTGGATGATCTTGGAGGTCTTTCAATGATTCCACAAGGGGAAAGCACGCCCGTGTCTCTCTTCCGTGTCCTGCCCCGATTCAGAAAGGCTATCAGCATCCTTCTTGCCTTAGGGAAAGGTACTCCCACCTCCTTTAATCCCGAAGCCGTGGTGCTGCCACCCCTAAAAGAGTGGGGAAATGCACCCCCAGAAAGCCCAGCAGCTCCAAGGCCATGAACAGCATCCCAGGAAGGACCTCGTTGGCCACCAAAGCACTTTTCTCCTGCTAACGAGGCCATCAGCTGGGAGCCTAACGAGGATGCAGTGCCACACACTGGCATCCAAGGAAGCCATCTGCCAGTCAGACAGCAGGCTTCATCCCAGGAATCCCAACACCCAATTCCCAAACTGGGCAGGGGAAGGAGGAAGATGCTGGAGCAGAATTAGGTTATGTCCCCAGAGCCCCCCAAAAAACCCAAACCTGCCAAAGGGAGGAAAGGGAGGCGGCCTGGGTTTTTTTAGGGAAGCATCTCAAGGCTTGTGCTTGAGTCCCCCAGGGCTGGGGAGGAGGAACCACGGGGAAAGGAGGCTTCCAGGAATGTGCTGGGAAGACAAGTGCTGACATGAGCTGTGCTGCTCTGCCAAACCGTGGCTTCAGGGAGGACAAATCCCATGGATTTTGCTCCAAAACACCCATGGATCAGCTGCAGCCCAGAGCAAAGGCACCCGTGGGTGGAGGGGTGAAGGGACCTTTGCTGGGGGGGGTCCATGAGACAGAGAGGAAAGAGGGAGAGAAGAGTTTGGGGGCAAAATGCTGGTTCCACAGGGGCTGAGGGCTGTGGGAAGAGGAGGCTCTGCCCAAAGCCCCGGTGCCCTGGCAAGGAGGGTCATGTGAGGTCCTACAAGTTAAGAGGTTTGTGTCAAAGAGGCTTCATCACCAGCCTCCTCATCCTCACTGGAACCCACAGCAGGGGCAGGAGGGCTCACACCACGTCCATTTGGCAGGGCCATGTGTGCAGGGGGGGCACCCCATGGGGCACTGCTTCCCTCAGTGTCCCCATCCTGGGGTGTCCAGAACCCAGGATGAACTTTCTAAGGTGCTGATCACTCCCTGCACTCCAGGGATCCAGGGATTTGGGATGGCACACAGGGAGGCTGCAAGGTTGAGTGTGGGCACAGACCATACTTGCTTCTCCTGACTGAACACCCCCAAACCCAGCGGGACCCAAGGACCCAAACCTGTACCTGGCACCCACAAAGCCTCAGTTTGAGGCTGAGCAACCCAACGTCTCCTCCACCTCCTCCATCAGGCAAAGGCAAAGAGGGGTCTGGCTGGCCTGGCTGGGAAGGAGGATGGATTTGGAGCAGGGAAGAGGTGATGGGTAGATGGTTTTGAGCTGCTCTTCTCCACACACTGCCCTTCCAGCATATGGGGGGCACCACAGAGAGCACCCAGCGCCTGCTCAGCCCGGGATTCCCAAATAATGGGGTGCTGGGAGCAAGCAGGGATGAAGATGGAGCAGCTCTTCATGGACACAGACTGGATGTGGTCCCTGGGACATTCCTGGGATGGCTTGATGGTGAAAGGGAAGTAAGAGATGGGGTTGAAAGTGTGCTGGCAAGGAAGGTGTTGGGACCGTGCTGGGATTTTCCATGAGCTGTGCACCCACTCGGAGCATCCGTCTGTCCCACACACACATGGACTCCCACAGGCTCCAAACTGCCCCCTGACCCCCCCTTACCAAGTAAGGCTGCCACTTCATAGGCTTTCTTCTGCTCAATTGTCTCGTAGTTGAGTGCTTCAAAAAATATGTCCAGCACAAGAATATTCTCTCTGTGGAAAGAAGAAAACAGCATCAGCCCAGCAGCCACCAGTGCTTTGGGATAAGGGAAAAAAATGGGACTTTGGGGCTTTATTCCTCTCCCTGTCCTGATTGTTTCTCTCTCTGGGACCCTCAGCAACCCACAGCACCTGGACCTCATGCAGACCAAGACCACAGGGTACCATCAGGGCTCTGGAAGCCTCAGGAGAGCTGGAAAATTTTCCCCCGAGATATTTCAGGATCTGAGCTCTGGATCTCACTTTGCTGATAACTCTTTACTTTAATGACAATTCCTCCCTGTGAGGGTGGGGAGGCCCTGGCACAGGCTGCCCAGAGAAGCTGTGGCTGCCCCTGGATCCCTGGAATGTCCAAGGCCAGGTTGGACGGGGCTTGGAGCAACCTGGGCTAGTGGAAGGTGTCCCTGCCCATGGCAGGGACTGGCACTGGATGGGCTTTAAAGTCCCTTCCAACCCAAACCAATCTGGGATTCTTTGATTCCATGATAACAGCAAGAATCCAAAGGATATGGAATAACATGGAATAACTCTCACTGCCTACACAAGGCAATGAAGTGCCCAGGACTGGAAGAAGTCCAAGTTCTCAGCCCAGAGTTCAGCAGAGAGCAGCCATACCTCCAACAGGGCCAGCAAGTCTGGCCTTCCCTGTCAAAGGAAGAGGAGTTTTTGCACTTTTTTTGGTGGGAATGGGCTTTGCTCACGAGGACAAGCCTAGGGAAGGAACACAGATCGTCTGGAGACACGTCTACTAAGAAGAAAGAGACCTACACCTCATTTCTTTCAGGGTTTGTCCCTTCTCCTCCCTGTGTTAGGGATGGATCAGCCAGGGCTGGTTTGAGCTAATGGGGCTTTACAGACACTTCCCCCATAAAGCAAAGGAGATCAGTTTTGGGCAACACTCACGAGATGTATTTTTCTGACTTATTGAACTTCTTCTCCAGGTACTTGGCCGAGGTCTTGCTGGGGATCTTGACCATGGAGAGCTCTTTGTTGTACCTGGTCAGGTTGCAGGGTGTCCTGCAGATGCAGTAGTTGCTGTCCTTCTCAGCAAGCAAACCTGCAGAAGGTCACAGGGTTACATCTCATGGAGTTAGGGGCAGGGAGCAGATGTGGGAGCAGAGGTTGTTATGCTCTGCTCCAGAGGTCACTCCTGGGCATTTCTCTCCCAGTTCATCCCACTTCTCACCATCTTGGAGAGAGGCCTTTTGCTGGAGGCTACACCAGCATCTGCTTGGGGAACTAAATCCAGACTTTAAATGGGTCCCTTGATCTCAACCCCAAACCTAGAGGTGCTCCCAGGGTGCCCATGATCCCAAGGGTTTTGTGCTGATGGAGCCCCACGCCCCAGGTAGGACCAGGAGTAAGTTTATCCCAGGGTGCACCCAGACCTTCCCAAAAAGTTGGGTCTCATCAAAACCCCTCTCTGAGTTGCAGCTGCTCCAGATCCCCCCCGGTGCTGCCAGCCAGGAGGATCCAGGAGGATCCAGGATGCTGGAAGTGCCTCCAGCTGGGGCACCCGTGGCACCAGGGATCCCTCGTGGTACTCACCGAGCGCGGGCTCCGCGCACTCCTTGTACTGCTCCGGGGTACAGAAGGGAGCATCCCCTGCAGGGAAAGGACATGTCCATCACATGGGGACCACCAGGCTCTCCCTGGGGACACAGGGACCTCTCCCTTTAGCCAAGTGACCCTAGCTGGTCTCCACCTCTGCCTGCCACTGCGAAACGAGGAGGGGGCTGCTGGAAACACCACCCAGGGGGTGTCAACTGGGGCTAAATAATTAATAAAATAATTAATAAAAACTTGGTGCTAATAACACCAGGGTCATGGATTCAATCCCCTCCATGGGCCATTCACTCAAGAGTTGGACTCGATGATCCTTGTGAGTCCCTTCTGACTCAGAATATTCCACGACTCTGGAAATAAGGTTGGACTTGATGATCTTGGAGGTCTCTTCCAACCTTAATGATTCTACAAGAGGAAATCAAACCCAAGTCCCTCTGCCACGCCTTGTCCCCCTTTCAGGACATTCCAACAAGGCTACTGGCATCCATCTTTCCTTAGGGAAAGGTATTCCCACCTCCTTTAACCCGAGCTCCTGCTGAATCATGGAATCATAGAATCAGCTGGGTTGGAAGGGACCTCTGAGATCATCAAGTCCAACCCTTGATCCAACCCCGCCGTGGTTCCCAGCCCATGGCACTGATGCCACATCCAGTCTGTCCTTAAACACCTCCAGGGACGGAGAATCCACCCCTTCCCTGGGCAGCCCATTCCAATGGCTGAGCACCCTCTCTGGAAAGAAATTCTTCCTAATCTCCAACCTAAACCTCCCCTGGCACAGCATATTCTGAGCTGGAAGGGACCTACGAGGATCATCGAGTGAATGGTCCCTACAGGGACCAAACCCACAACCTGGGCATTATTTGCACCGTGTTCTACCCAATCTCTGGGGGTGTGCCAGCCCCCAGCACTGACCTGGCATGTGGACCATTTTGCAGTTGCAGTTCTCCACGATGTAGCGGGTCTCGCAGTCGATCCTGCAGGCCGTGATGCTGTAAACGGGAAAGAAGTCTAAGCCCATTTCCGACGAGCGACATTCACCCCAAGGCGGAGGCAGGTACGTCAGCTGCAAGACAGGGAGGAGGAGGGGTGTCAGGGGGCACCGGGGACCCGGGCTGGGCTTGTGTGGCCAGCTTTTGGTGGCAGAGAGGGAGCTACAGGGGTGGCTGCTGTGAGAAGCTGCAGGAAGCTTCCCCCGTGTCCAACTGACCCAAGGCCAGCCGGCTGCAGGACGGACACGCCTCTGGCCAAGGCTGAGGCAACTGAGCCAATCCCTCCCAACTGAGGGATAACACACTTAAGAAGGAAAAAAGAAATGTTATTGCACAGATGTGGTTGCAGCCAGAGTAGAGTGAGAATCTGTGAGGGGAACAGCTCTGCAGACACCAAGGTCAGAGAAGCAGGGGCAGGAGGTGCTCCAGGCTCTGGAGCTGAGATTCCCCTGCAGCCCCTAGTGAAGACCCTGCTGAGGCAGCTGTGCCCCTGCAGCCCAGGGAGGACCATGGGGGTGCAGAGATGCACCTGCAGCCTGTGGAGGAGCCCACGCTGCAGCAGGTGGATGCCTGAAGGAGGCTGTGAACTGTGGGAAGCCTGTGCTGGAGCAGGGAAAGGACTCTGGCTCCTGTCCCTGAGCAGTGGCCGAACAAGGTGGGATGAACTGACCGTGTCCCCCATTCCAGTCTCTCTGCGCCGCTGGCGCGGAGGAGGCAGAGCCCGGGAGGGAGGGAGGGGTGGGGGAAGGTGTTTTTAGGATTTATTTTACTCCTCATTATGCCCCTCTGATTGTGTTGCTGATAAATGGAATTACTATCCCCCAGCTGAGTGTTTTGCCCATGACGGCAATCGCTGAGTGATCTCTCCCTGTCCTTAACTCAGGAACCTTTCCCTGTATTTTCTCTCCCCTGTCCAGCTGGGAAGGGCAGTGACAGAGCAGTTTTGGTGGGTGTCTGACATCCAACCAAAGCCAACCCACCACAGGACCAGCAGCGAGCAGTGGGCACGGCAACTCCCTCCTCTTGCCCCAGGGGAGCCCCCAGAGCACAGTTTTATGGTGTTTTTAAGGAGGGGACCGAGCAAGGGAAGGCCACAGCAGGACTTTGGCCAAGTGAGGATCTTTAGCAAGCTCTGCTGCAGAAGAAGCCTCCAAACCTCAGTGCTCCCCACAGAGGGATGGCTGTGCCCAGCGTGGTGCTGCCATGGGAGGTGGTGCAGGGCAGCACTTTGCTGCCTCCTCAGAGAAGGCAGAGAAGTCAATCATGGCCCTTTCCAAACACCCACTCTCCCCGTGGACCCATATCCACAGTATCCACTCTCCTGGCACCCCATGAAGATGGGGAACGTGTCCTCCTCTCCCTCATTTGCCCACCACCTCAGAAGTTGCTGTGCTCTGGGCCAGTGCAATGCAAACCCTCTGCTGTTACTGCTTTATTTAAAACCACAAAGATACCACAAAACCTCCACAAAATCCCCCCCAGAAACCTTCACTAGGAGTCCAGAACATGCAGGAGGAAAAACAGTCTCTCTCTGGCCAATCTACCTTGTTCCTCTCCCGTCTGCAGCCTGGTAGCAGTCTCTGTTTCTCTTTATCTTTGCTCAATTCTCTGCACTCCTCTTGCTGGAGAGCAGAAAATAGCATCCCCCAGCCCTCCCTTGTGTTTGAAAGCAGAGGCCAATTTGCTGTGCTTTGCTCCAAACACGGAACGTTTTGTGCTGGCAAGGCACGTTGGCAGAACAAAAACATTCCTCCGGCAAATGTAGTAACATTAATCACGTCCTAAAATAAATAAGTAAACATATGTTGATGGACTGTGAGCCCGGGACCTGTGGCAAGGATTGGGTTGGTTTCTCCTGGAGATGTGTGGGAAAGGGAGGATAAAAGAGATGGTCCATGAAGAGGGGGCAGATCCTGCCGGATAAATAACAACCCCAGGAATCCTTCAGGCTGAGATAACTGTGACAAATCCATCATGGGGGGAGCTGTTGGAGCCCTCCTTGAGACCTCCAGTGGGAGCAGAGCTCCGGGTCTCCAAAGCACCTGGGAGAAGATGTTCACCAGCCTGTGGTGCTGGTAAAGCTTCTCCTTTGACTTAGGAACCACCCAGGTGTTAAAAAAACAGAATGGACTTAAATTGCAGCCAGGAAGAGGAAGATGAGATGTTGGGATGGACACATCCCATGGTGAGGACAGCAGGGGATGGGGACAGTCTGCCTTGGAGCAGCACAACACCTGGAAGCTACAGGAGAGTCTGGGGAAGATCCCAGGCTTCTGAGGGTGATCTTGCCCTGTGGGGCTGGACAAGCTCCCAGCTCAGCCAAGCCAAAGTAATTCCTTCTCTAAGGACAATTCTGCCCTGAACAGTTCCCATCCAGGAATCCAGAGTGGTTTGCTAATTCCAGCACTTTTGTTGCTGTGCCTATGGGCACTGTTCTGGTTCCCAGTTCCTAACAGAGCACAGAACCATGGAATGGTTTGGGTTGGAAGGGACCTTAAGGACCACCCAGCCCCACCCCCTGCCATGAGCAGGGACACCTTCCACTAGCCCAGGTTGCTCCAGGCCCCGTCCAACCTGGCCTTGGACACTTCCAGGGATGGGGCCTCATTCCTCAAGTGCCAATGAGACAGAAAACTCTGCAGTTGATGTTCAGCCCCAGCAGATCTGCAAGGGCTGCTCAGCACCTCTAGCCCCTGGTCAGGATGCTGGTCAGGCCAGGGCTGGTATTGGCCCATGGGCTGCTGGATGAGGGACATGAGAGTCTGGAGAAAAGGAGGCTCAGGGGGGACCTTATTTCCTTATTTCCCTCTTCAACTCCCTGACAGGAGGGTGAGGCCAGGGGGAATCGGGCTCTGCTCCCAGGGAACAAGGGACAGGAGGAGAGGAAACAGCCTCAGGTTGTGCCAGGGAAGGTTCAGGTTGGATATCAGGGAAAATTTCTTCACTGAAAGAGTGGCCTGGCACTGACCAGGCTGCCCAAGGAGAGGGGGGGTCACCAGCCTTGAAGTGTTCAAAAAACAAGCGGCAGTTTGTGATATGTGGGGTTTTTTTAGTGGGAATGGCTGGGATTCTGTCAGAGGCTGATGATCTTGGAGGTCTTATTCCCACGATTCTGTTCTATGATTCTATGATTCCATGACTCTATGATTCTGTTCTATGTTTCTGTGAGCTCTGGCATTCCCAAAATCTGCTGCTCAAGCTGCTTTGAGAAGCAACAGCAACCAGGAGCTACTCAGCTGTCGGGAGCAACACGCGCCCGTCTCCGCTCGGCAGGTCCCGTCTGAGGAGCAGCCAACAGCCCTGTCAGGTGTGAGGATGCAGCAGGTGACGTGGGATCCCATCTGCAGGGACCAGCTGGGGCATTAAAGCAAAAAAGGAAACCAATCCCTAGAAATTCACCCTCCGAGAAACACGCCTGGCTCCGAACGAGACCGTTCCGAGAGTCGGCAAAGCAGCACCTTGGAACGAAACCACCCCGAGAGTGTTTGTGACAATAGCAGAGGGTTGGCTGAAGGGATCTCTTCTCATTTGCTTTACACTTGTGATATAAAGGAGCACCAGATGCCATCGTTTAGTCATCGGCGGCGCAGAAAGGGGCCCATATGTTGCACGTTGTGTGATAAAGGAGAATAAATAACCGTGGGCTCAGATGGTATCAGCTCCTTTCCAAGCACAGCCACACACACAAATCTTTTAAGCCCTTTAAATTCTGTTCTGAGTGTCGGTGACGGGCTCAGCACAGGATGGAGGGGGGGCAGAGACTGAGCTTCCACAAGTCCTCCCTCAGCCAGTGAATAAGGGACCTCACTGGAGGGAAAAAACACCTCAGTAGGGATGGGAATCTGCAGGGAATAGGGGAGCCCCATCTCCTACATCATGCCTCAACATCTAGAGGTAGTTTCTTCTCAGGAAAGCTCCCTTTGCCTTCTCTAGGTGGTTTTGATGAACAGACATCAATGTACCAAGTCCTTGATGTGTCAACTCCTGTCCTGACCTTTTATTTCCAGTTGTCTTTGAAGGCAGCTGCTCAGTTCCTCTCTGTGTTTGGAGCCACAGCAGCAGCACCCTCAGGTAGCACTGACTGCCAGGAACCCTCTGAAATGCTCTTACCCTTCAAAAATCACAGAGTGGTTTGGGTTGAGAGGGACCTCAAAGCCCATCCAGTGCCACCCCCTGCCACGGGCAGGGACACCTTCCACCAGCCCAGGTTGCTCCAAGCCCCGTCCAACCTGGCCTTGGACACTTCCAGGGATCCAGGGGCAGCCACAGCTTCTCTGGGCAACCTGTGCCAGGGCCTCCCCACCCTCACAGCCACCAAAAGGTAAAAAACCCACATAAAAGCAGCAGGCAAGGCAGGGGTGAAGGCAGCAGGGACAGTTCCTGCCCTCAGCTCCTGCAGGATCTAATTCTGCTCGGCTGCCATGGCAGCTTTCCAAGGGCACCTGCCCCTCCCCAGCACTGTGCTGGCTCATGCTCACAGAAACCCAGGCTCAGCCTCTAATTGAGGCTGACAGACCCACGTCCTCGCACTTTTGCAATCGTTAAGTCATTAATTAATGAATTAAATGCTTTTTAAACCCCCCTGATCCCGGCTCTCAGGGATTCCGAAAATCGGTTACGAACCTGCCGAGAGGAAAAGGAACAAATTGGCTCGTCTCCTCGAGAGCAGGATGGATCCTGCTCGCCTGAAACGCAAGGAAAAGAGGAGATGCTCTTGGCAAAGGTGGAGGGGAAGCAGATCAGGGTGAGGGGGGGTGATCAGCACAGCTCTGCCCCTTCCCTGGCCACGCTGCTGCCCTTGGCACGCTGCTCCTGGCACGGGGCCTCCTGGGAGCTGCCAGCATCTGTCTGCAGCCACAGAGCTCTGTCTGCAGCCACAGAGCTCTTCTCTTCAATTAATTTTAAGTGCTATCTCTGTTTTTTTTCTGCATGTTTAGTTTTATCTAATAGAGAAACGTGCGGAAATGAAGCGGAGATTTCCCAGCACAAGGCCGGGGCAGTTTTATGGAATTCCAGAATATCCCAAACTGGGAGGGACCCACAAGGATCATCCAGCCCAACTCCTGGCCTGGCA